CAATTGAATGGAGCAGCATCTTTAAGAATTTCTGTATACATGTACAAACACACATTCATGCCCGTCTGCTTTGCATTTTAACAGTATGGTTATTGCGACTTTTTTCTGTAATGCTATTTAAGTTCCTTTTTTATCATAAGTGCTTAATTCAAAATTTTGACCCAAATCGACAAAATGGCACTTTTTTTTCCAAATCGAGGGCGGTGCGAAAATCGAAACTTCTTTAATGTTTCTTTTTTTAATATCTCGGGTATTAGCTCCGCGGGGAGATATGACGTTCCAAAACGACATAACTCCGCGCGGAGATATGACGTTCCAAAACGACATAACTCCACGCGGAAATATGACGTTCCAAAACGACATAACTCCACGCGGAAATATGACGTTCCAAAACGACATAACTCCGCGCGGAGATATGACGTTCCAAAACGACATAACTCCGCGCGGAGATATGACGTTCCAAAACGACATAACTCCGCGCGGAGATATGACGTTCCAAAACGACATAACTCCGCGCGGAGATATGACGTTCCAAAACGACATAACTCCGCGCGGAGATATGACGTTCCAAAACGACATAACTCCGCGCGGAGATATGACGTTCCAAAACGACATAACTCCGCGCGGAGATATGACGTTCCAAAACGACATAACTCCGCGCGGAGATATGACGTTCCAAAACGACATAACTCCGCGCGGAGATATGACGTTCCAAAACGACATAACTCCGCGCGGAGATATGACGTTCCAAAACGACATAGCTCCGGGCGGAGATATGACGTTCCAAAACGACATAGCTCCGGGCGGAGATATGACCTTCCAAATGATCAAGTTTTTTTTTTTTCCAAAATCAATGTCGGTGCGAAAATCGAAACTTTTTCGATGATTTTCTTTAATATCTCGGGTAAATAATGTCTGATTTTAAAATGTTAAAATGTTATATGCATTTGATGTTGGAAGAAGAGGGTTCAGGGTATTCCCTAGTCGGAAGCTCCCGACTAGAACCTCTTACTTGTTTTTTTTTTTTGTTATATTGCATCAGCATTCCATTTGGAGCATCTCTTTTTATATTTAGAATTGCTTCTGGCATCCCACAATTGGACTAATTGGCCAAATTATTTCAACTATTTAGGAAAACTCGCAGCATTGCCTGCCAGCATCTTATATAGCCACTCATACACACGCACAACATTCCGGCTTTGCCGAATTGCGCTAATGATAAATAAATTATGCGATGCCAGGAATACACACAAACGAATTCGCCCCACATCTCGTTCCCGTTGCGCCCGTTGCGCTCTAGCTGTTAGAACAAACCACAAACAGAAAATAAATAAGCTCGCGGGCAATGCCAAAAGATAAGTATGCGCCCCGTGGCCCCGGCACACATTAAGGCACTTGGATCAGGACCTGGGTGGGGCTGTGAGTGGGCGTGGGCATTACTGAAAGCAAACGCGTTAATAAACAAAATCTGTTGCTAATGTACAATATAAGTTAATTATGGAATAGCAAAATGTGGAAATGCTGCGTTGATGGTGACAACTTTTGCAGCTTTTGAAATTCAAGCTGACATTCAGACTGCAGATGTGTGCGTGACTATGTGCGTGTTTGTGTGTGTGTGTAGCCAACTGTGTAAGTGCAGTTGTTTTTGCACTGGCATTAATGTGCTTGTGATCCGCTTGGTTTGTTTGTGCGCGATAATTGCGTTTTATGGCAAAGACAAACAAACAAACAAGCAAATACACAAACAAACAAAAGCTGATTCAGATACAAATCCTAAATGCAGTTATATGGGGGGTCAAGCAGCAAACGTCCAACAAAACAACAACAACAACAACATAGATACCAAATTGCATTAAAAATAAATATAATGACAGACCACAGCAACACACACACACCTTTGCGCCCCTTTCAACTCAATGCAATTTTCGCATGCCGTGCATAATTTTGATGCGAATTCCTGTCCAAAAATTTATCAACGCACGCATTTGGAAATTTATGCCTTGCCTTTTTCATGTGCGGATCACCGTGAAATTTCAATATTTTATTTGTAATTTGTTAGCCGCATGTCAATATTATTTTGCAATTAAAATTTAATAATATTTGCCAAAAGCATTTTAAAACGCCATTTTATTATTTGTGTTATTCCGATTGCTTTGCACACTTCCCCCCATTTGTCGTACCATTCCGCATATTCGCATTTTCCGCATATGCAGCCGGGCTGACAATGTCAGTGAGCAGTTTGCGCTTCTAGTTCAAAGCGTTCGACTGAGCCAAATGCTATGTCAAATTTTAGTTGATTGTCTGCATGGATTAAAAATACGCGAAAATAAATCGCTGAGCATGCGGTTTTGTGTATGTGCTTATATGGACAGAATCCATTTCGCATACAATTGTGGTTTAATTGTTGTGCTGTGTGCATATGCAAAATATTTCACAGACATTTGTCATCAGAAAGAAAGCAATTTTTGAAACTAGCAGATGCAAATGTTTCTCATTTAGGGCCTGGCTCAGTATCGCGCATAAATCCCACTTTATTTAGGTTTATTTATAGCACTTCCTTGACTCCCTTATATATCTTTTGGTGTTGTTTCTAAACATTTATACGCCTAATTCCATTTGAATGCCACAGCCCTGTGCCCCAAAACCCATTAAGCCCGTGCATTAACAGCTCCATTTAATAAACTACCGCACTGCATTCCTCCTTTATTTGGACCATGGCAAATCTTAACATTGCTTAGAGCTCTCAACAGGCATACAGCTAAGTATAACAATGTGCAGCACTCTCAAATCTCAATGCCTATCCTCTACCTCTCATTCCACAACAGCTTGCAGTGCACACCCGAAAAAGACACACACACACAACAATGGCCACAATAATCCCATTGAAATGTGCTGCACGGCTGCTGCCCTACTGAGTCCTTAAGCGTTTCACTGTTCATCAGTGACCATGTGGACATTGCAGCAACGAGCACAGATTTGCGATGCAATGCCAATGGCGATGGTTTAGGCAGCGGCAAATGAGCTGCTTTTGGGTAGGCGGACCTGCCTCCAGCACCATTAAAAACTTTTTGCCAGCATTTAGCATTGACATTAGCGCAACAACAACAACAACAACAACAACATCTAAAACGGACCAATGAGCAGCACTGTGATAGGGCTCTGATTTCGACTTCTATTTCGATTGCGTTTCGTTTACAGAATGCCGTCGACAGTTGGCTGCAGTCTATACCCGTTCTATATCTATCCATCTATCTATCAGTAGATCTGTCGCTCTGTCGGTTTGGCTGATTGCCTGGCATGGCGCATCGACGCCTGTCGCTCTGTCATTGGCACCTCCTCGGCTTGGTCCAGCCCCTCTTGCTGGCTGTCAATCCTTTTAATGGTTTGCCGCTTTTAATGTCACCCGCTCTCAAGTGGATTTCGAATACTTCGTCAATCGTGTGGCCCATTTGCCGCTATCAAGTGGTTCCTCTTGTTGTTCTTGTTGTTATTTTATTTGTATTTTATTATGGCAAAAGTGTTTGTTTCAAATGTCATTTGCTGTGACTCCCACTTCAGTGCTGTTGATGTTGTTTTTATTGCTGTATCTTGAGAGTGTGACATTCTTTTAATTTTATCCTATCCGTCCGACTGTCTGTCTAGTAGCTGTTTAGCCGTTGTCTGATTGTATTGCTCGAGAGCACACTTCAGCTATTTAATTAAGAAGCACTATACGTTTCGAAGACTTCTATGACTTCCTATTGCTAGAAAGTGGTTGCAGTTGACTTCACGCTTTGAGTAAATCATGACAATACAACACGAGTATCAGTAAATTGTACAACTTGCCTTTCATACAGACTTCCCCTGGACTTAATCAAAACAATCAACATTTGTCCTCTATTTTACAAATACATGGTCAAATAAATAAACAAATTTTGGAATAGTTTTAGGCTAACAAGTATTTAAAATGAATTAAGTACACTATGTTACAGCCAAAAACAGATACTGCTGCAACCTTACTTTTGTTTGCTCCAATTTTTTTATTTTTTTTCTACCAAATGTCAAAAAAATATGAAGTAAAATTTGTCTAGGCTGTTACGAAATGTGATTTCATCAATCTTAGACGATTTTATTTACCGGTACTTTAAAACAAAGTCTAGAAGTTAGTCGTATAAACTTAGTTGCTATCAACTGTGGGTTGATTAAAATGTTATTACTTTCTATTTTATCTGATTTTCTAGGAAATAACCTCGTAAATATGTCTTAAAAATAACCCCTATTTTTGTAATAGTTAAGAAATATGTATTTTCTACTGTTGTCTGCAAAGCTGCATGAAGCTGACTTTGATTGATTCTCCGCAGGTATTTTTCTTCTTCTAGTTTTTGTTTTTTTTTTTTTTAATTTCTAAATTATAGAAACTTCCCACTAACCGAGTTTTTAAATTCAGAGAGTGTGGAGATTCATATCAGCACATTTTGTTGTAGCTAGACTGCCAAACTCTACTGTATACAGCACATCGTAACCATTTATAAATAATGCAATAGAATAAATGTATAGAAATTGCTTACAAAGTTTGGATATGTGCGTCAAAGCATACACTTATCTGATGAAACTCATATTTATATATGTCACTCAATCCGTAAAAGCAAGTAAGAAGTTTGCAGTTGGAGCAACCGAAGCTTAAAACCACAAAAGCTTAAAACGTGCTGACTGCCAAAGTTTTTAAGTGACCATCGATTCTTTTAGAAGATTCTTTTCAATAGTGCTAACTCATTATTTGACCATGTCACCAATACGGGAAACAATATAAACTTGACATTTTGTCTAACGTGATGATTATGAACACATATTCCAAGCTTCAGGCTTACGGATAGCAAGACGGACAATATACCTTTTCCTTCGCTGAATAAGCCCAGCATATATAAGAACTATTTCATGCAGAATTTAGTCTTGCTTTTTAAAGCTCATCATTAAGAACAGAAAATGGTTACAAATATCCATAAATAATAACCACAACTCACCCATTGTCGAAAGCGTAAGGATCAGAAAAACTGCATGCAAGATCCAACAATTTCTGGCCGTCCATCGGTTCTGGGGTTGTTTTCTCGACTGTCTAGTTCCATGTCCCACGAGTTGCTGTGTCATTTTGCGAGCGTTGGCTGACAAGCCGCTGGGCGTTTGCGGCACCAACATGATCGGGGTCGAGCAGTATCTTTCACTCGCAGACAGGCAACATTTGCGGCGCATTCAATAAACACTTCAACTTCACACGCTGCGCCGCTTGTCGGCCGGAGCACAGAGACTGTTTATAGTTAGCGATTGGGGAATATGCGAATTATTAATGCGCGCTATGGTCACGATTTGCTTTGAATGTTTGGCGGATTCGCTCATCAGCCATCGGCTGCCGCCACTCGAGTAGTTGCCCCTAATAAGCAGCCAGATAATTTAAAAATTGTTTGGCCCTCGACTCAGCGCCGTTTGTTTTCACAGAAATTCGCGTTTGATTTGCACTTTTCAACTTTGCACATTTTTTGTTTTTTGTTGCTTTTTCGCTTTCTGTTTACAACTCAATTTCCGGCTTTTAATTGTTTTTCGTTTGTTTGGACGGCGTCCATTTGGGCCCAGTCTTTCACTTTTACTGATTATAATCCACGGAACTGAATTTGATGCGGCAACGATTTTTGTTTCAGCTAATTGTTGGTGTGCATCCAGCTGTTGTTGCCGGAAGTGCGCTGCAAGTGCAAGATTAAACACTGTTGTTTAATTATAGTTGTTGATATTGTGATATTCGTAAAATGATTTTGTTGGCCAACGCAAACAACTGCGCCATGCTGAACACAATTTGCCGGTCTGAAGCGTGCCTAGGACAAGTTGACAAACGACTGAAAATTGTTTGTTGCCGCTTCTGCTCTCAAGACTGCTGCGAAACACACCCCAAAATTATGGTGTGACGTAGGCGGGCAACAAAACCAAAATTAGCACGCTGGAAATGTTGCAAGCCACAGCAACAATGCTGCTGAAACATTGTTGCCAAGCTAGTTGCTAAGTAGCTGGTGCTGCGGCTGGGGCAGTAGACAGGAAGCAACGCAAAGCAAACATGACGAACAATAATAAATATTATGTTGCAACATCAAAAAAAAAAAAAAAAAACAAAAGACGCAAAATAAAAATTGAAAAAAAAAGAATGAAAGACATTTGCTTGATTTTGTGCAATGGCAACAACAAACGCAACATGCGGTTTAGCAGCCACAATTTTGTTTTTGTTTACACTAATGAGGCTGTGCACAAGTAGCTGCTGGCACTTGAGCCTCAGCTGCAAGGATAAGTGTGCGATGCCTTTCACAAGCTGCCTCCATTCTGTGCATCAAGCACAATTTTAGCTGCCACTCAATGTAGCCGCTGCCCGTGACTCGTTACTGTGTTGCCACATGCGACGTGCTGCTGCGGACTGTTGCAGCAGTTTGTTTATTTAAGTTTCAATTACTCAGCTACCCTCAAATTGACATGCGTTCAAGCAAGAAATTTGCAGCCTTTGTTTCTCTGCTGCTCAATGCACGCCTTTGTGCCAGCCACTCGTCAGGATGCATAATCGCCGCCGCACAAGTGGTTGTAATGTGCGTCTGTGCGGCACTGGTTAGAGTCTGCAGTGTGCTGTGCGCCTTGAAGGTCGCACATCATAAATAAAATGCCACTTTGGGCATCCCCACCCCTCAACCCCTGCCACGGCTACCGCCTCTCAAGTGCACTGACTCCAATTGGCAAAAGCATTTCGCCAAACATTCATAACGTTCATTAGTTACCAGCACTCAGCTGCTGCAGTGCACCACAGACATACACAGACACACAACCACCCGTCTTGGTGGCCATGTCAAATTGCCAACTTTATGTGGAACACACGCTGCATTCTTTCTGGCAATGACTGTGGCAATGGCAGTGGCACTGGCACTGGCTGTGGCAGCTTATCGATGTCATGCTGCAACTGCTGCAGTTGCTTCGCCCGGCTTTTATGGTCGCCCGCACACCTTAATACAGAGCATGCAGATAAAAACGACAACATAAATAACATAATGCATATCCGTATATATATATATATATATATATATATATATACATATGTGTCCACACATGCATACCCTATAGAAGCTTCCATATATGGCAGAACATGCCCATGCACTTAGCTATTTTATTGTGCTACACGCAACCCCTTGACAAGCGCAACACGTGCGATTTGAGAATTTTATAAAAGTGTTTATTAGCCCGCTCGACTGTCGTTGTGTTCGCTGTTGTTGTTATTATGTTATTATTTTACCAGGAGTTTGGAGTATGCCAGGCAAAGGGAAATGCTCCATGTGCGCGTCATGGCGCTGTCATTGACGACGCCGTTGTGAGCGACAAATTTTAGTGCTCCAATGAAAATTGAAACACATAAAAACGCGTGAAAAACCACACAATTAAATGGAAGGAGCGGCAGTCGGCCGCAGGCATTGGGGGAATCTTCATGTCGCTTCCACAACACGCTGGTAGAGACACGCGCTACCCGTCGACTATGTAATGTGTCGACTTTTGGGATCTTTTAATTACACTTTTGTTATGTGTTTCCGCTTTCAAGGCCGTGCCCCACACTAGTCGTGTAAGTTTGTGTGATATTAGATGGTTTGTGTAAACAGAAATGAATTATTTAAAAGGCAAAATTATTAAATTCTCACTAATCCTGAATTTGATGTAGGAAACTAGAAAAAAAAAGAAATTGCAATTAGTTGATAATGAGACCGATGAAAATAGTGTAGATAAACACTGGGATATGTTTTTGATTTGGCCCTGTATTCATAGAACTGCGATTTTCCATCTTTTTTAATATCTTCTTAGTGTTCTCGATCGTATAGTAAAAACGAAGCGTACAACACTGCCTAAGAATAGTATTGGTTATTGATGTTTGATATTAAATCTATCTCATAAATCTCTTGATTCCTCTGTTGTTTCAATTCGATGGCATACGATAAGAATATAATTTGTATATACAAATGTGTTACCCAATTGATAGCTGGCAACGCACAGTAACAATGCTTTCTCGTATAGCTTCTATGGAATGCATTGACCTCTGCCAGATCAAGCAATGTAAATGTACTTTGACATGGGCAAGTATAAGAATTATTCTCTTCTCACATATAGACACTTATAGACAATAGTGCTGGGTATTGAAAAGTTTCATATTAAATCGTTGTCATAAAGCTCTTCCATTGAATCCTTCGCTGTTTGCATTTCTTGAAGTAATTTTTTTTTTTAATATTTTCTTTCGTCCTTTTTATTTAAATAACTACATGTGTTCCCACTTCATTCAATTACAAGAGCACATCAAACATGTCAGCCCTACACATTGTTGCTCCATTAAAATACATAGTCGCAGATACTGAAACCGAGACACATATGCCAGCACCTTGATGCTTTATTGTGCCACACAATTGTAAGCTAGCAACATGCAGTGACAACGCCCCACGGAGAGGCCCGTCGTCTGCTATCGAACGCATCGCCCTTTGTCAGACTCAGAGATGCAAATTGTCTTTGACATGGGCAAGTACAAGATAATAATTCTCTCATACATGCACATTACACCAACACGGCTACACACACAAACATAGCTGCCCTTCAAGACTGCTGCTGACAATTTCCGGTTACAAGTCGGTCGGTCGGGCGGTCGGTCGGTCGACAGTTTCCTCGGCCTGTTTGTCTAGTCTACTGTCAATTGTATCATTCTCTGGTTATGTCGAAATTTCAGTTTCTTGTGAAATTTTGTATCCTTTACCTTGGTTTCAATTATAAGCATTTCAAATGCAATTAAATTTGTACAACAGCCAGTCATTATTTTAGTCAGCTTATAGTCTTGAACGGCTTATATACCACTAACATATTAAATACGGAGTCGTTATCTGCATCAAAGGTCTCGATGATGTGGCCAGCTCAGCCGCTTAAATTCAGAAACTATCCGAAGCCTTTTAAGGCCTAATGCATCAAATGAGAAACTGATCAGAAGCTTTTCGATTAGTAGTGAAAAACAGCGTTGTGCCGTGATACCCTGTAGGAACAGGGTATCGTCGCGCAATCTCTTAACATGACTATTCTAACATTTTGGTGTCTGATTCTTTACACTCGGCTGCATATCATCAAATTTACATTGCTGTTTTGCCAAAATTCAAAAGTGTTTTTCTTTTTTTCTGCTTTGTTCTGTTTGTGCCCTTTTGAAATGCGCATATTTATGAGGCCGGCATCGAGTTGTTTATTCATAAGATTTTGTCGTGAAACGTTGCTCTGATTTGATTTGTTGGTATGTATTCCGCCGCACAACGCACTTTAGCCACGATAATGGCGCCCTGCCCGCAACTGGTCCCCACTTTATCACAAAGTTTAATAACAATGCCTGGGATCTTGTTTAATCGTTCTGACCTCTAACCGAGTGTAAACTCAAACGGCTGTTTTGATTAGCGTTTAACATTAAATGCACTAATTAGCATTGTGTGCCGCACCAGGGATATATAATACAAATGATAAATCAAACGGCAAGCCAAATACAGCATTGTGCACATGCATATTCACAAGCTCTCACATTCTCGCGCACAAGCAGCCTTGTATATGCGTTGCGAGTATGAATTGGCATTTGAGATACTTGCAACACTATACAAGTTGAAACTGTGCCATTGCCACCACATGCATCGCACTGTTTCGACTGCTGCAAATGTTGAAATGCGCAAATGTTTGTTTTTGTATCGCGTATACGCAGAGTAAACAGATAGAAATTTATATGTTGTATTTGCAGTGCATGGGATTAAATTTATTTTTATGTAGAACGCGACAGGTGAGTCGGGTACATGGGCTTATAACAGTTTAAATATATACACAAGTAAATCGGAATGGTTAGGTGTAATGACGAGTGTTGAGTTTTAATTATGCGCGCATTTAAGGACTTTAGATATGACACTAAAAAACAATGAACAACAAGCGAAACAGCCGTAATTTATAATACATTTAACACTTGCTAAAATATTAAAAATTAAAAGCTATATTTAAATTCCTTTGTGGCTTTGAAAGGTTTTTTCCGAACACCGAATGTTCTTATACATTCAGCATTAATTTATTAAATATAAATTTCAGCTGCGTCGTTAATATTTCCCTTTGAAATAATTAATATTAAATGACACACAATTATTTATAGTTAAATGTATAATAATTAACGCAATTAATTTCAAAAATATCATTTAAGAATATTCCATTTTGTTTTATTTTTTTTATTTTATTTTATTTACTTATATGAATGTTTTTCTGCTATGTCTAGGCCAATGCCTATTAAATTGCCTTCTTGCTCTCTGTGTCCGCATGGGACAAAAAATTCCATCGAAGCACCACAAAAACGCCATCAAATAACATAGGACCAGTTCGAGAAGGGAAGCCAAGCGCGAGGGCAACCACTTCAAAACAGCCTCATCGAAATCCAAACAAATTTTTAACGTCTATGCGGAAGATAGCCTCGCTGCGTTCTATATTTACTTTGGACTTGACAGTGGCTCGGCATGGCGAATTTGCATTTGAAACATAATAATCATTGACCTTTTTATGGCTCCGGTACGCGCTTTTTAATAAATTGTTTACTTCCTAGCCTGGTGGGCTGAGCGAAGGCAAAATCAATGCCCCAATAAATTGTGGCAATAACCATTGTAAATATCGACAGAATTTGGCCAGCTTT